ATGGAATAATATGAAAATAAACCTTTAGTATGGTTTGGGATACATGGAATAATAATGAAAATAAACCTTTAGTATGGTTTGGGATCATAGGAATAATATGAAAAATAAACCTTTTAGTATGGTTTGGGATCATGGAATAATAGAAAAATAAACCTTTTAGTATGGTTTGGGATCATGGAATAATATGAAAAATAAACCTTTTAGTATGGTTTGGGATCATGGAATAATATGAAAATAAACCTTTTATTATGGTTTGGGATCATGGAATAATATGAAAAATAAACCTTTTAGGATGGTTTAGGATCATGGAATAATAAGAATAAACTATTTTAGAATGGTATAAGTTCGTGGAATGATAATAAAACACTTAGAATAGTCTGGGATCGTGAGTTAAATGAGTAAAAACTCGTAGGGTTATCTAGGATTGTGGGTTAACGAGAATAAATATTTCAAAATCACCAGGATCGTGTTTATGATTTAGGAATCTTGACTACAACTACTTGTGTGGAATCATTTAAACTAGCATGGATCAGAACATGATAGGGAACGGATTTTAACAAGTTATTCATCCTTTTTTAATGTGTATGGGCTATAAACATTATGATAGCAAAGAATGGTCAAGTATTTATTTTAAGTAATTTAACTAATTTCTTCTGACATGAGAGTTTATGGTTCAAAAGCGTATATATTGATCACGTACGGAGTTTTAGAGTCATATGTTTAAACCTGAAATCAAATCTGCTGAATCCCATTATAAAGTATTCAGCGTAATGACCAGTTCAAGACAGCTTTGACTTGTTGATGTTCTGGAAAGAATTAGTCTAGTCACTTACTAGCACGTGATCCGACCACGACCTCTGGTGAAGAGACTATTTTCTTGCAACATGAAGAGGCGATTGGCTAACAGATGATGTTCGTGTTTAAGTGATTACCTGTAAAGAAGCCGAATCAAATGAACGTCGAAGTTTCGCCCATAATGAGTCTTGTTTCAGTAAGCTGGGTTGAAAATCTGGTTTGGAATACTGACCCTGATCGTTTTTTTACATGTATTATTTATACATTCAAAATAGATGCTGGTAAAATTACTGTTTATCTGTGCTGAAATTAAAAACAGTGAAGATAATTTCAGTCCTATAGTGTAGTAATAAATCTATATAAATATAATAGTACTGTCTGTTGTATGTCCATATAACTACTCGGCAGGG